AATATAAATTGTTATATAAAATATAAGTTTTTCTATAATAATTAAAATTTACTTATGTATAATGACTGATTTTAATATAAAATATTTTTGTCTATGTAGGTTTGATAGAAAGTCCGAAAATGACGCACGATACGTCTTTATTACTAGCGAGATTAGAGGATGAAATTCGCAAACAATTGGGTGTTGTGTATCCTCAAGATGCTTGAAAAATCATGTACATTTTTTACAAATAAAATATATGTATGCATATATAATTTGATATATCATTATGTGTAGTATATAAATACAAGATTTTCATGATTGCAATATCAATTATTTTTCTTATCCAAATCATTTTTTTCATACATGTGCGTTGAATACACACACAAATGCAATTACAAAAAGTTAAATAAAATTTATGTAAAATATTGATATGAAAATTTAATCTTTAAAAATATATTTCTATTTAACTTTGAATTTGCAAATCTATAATTTTGTTTTTTTATCGTTCTTTGTATAACATCTGAATTTATATTGCACGAATTATAACAATACACAATAACAATTAACATTAACTTATCTATTTATTATTTTTTGACCGAAATTGCCAAATATTTTCATGCTTCTATATACATTGCATCGCGCATGCGCGAAAAGATTATCTTTTCAATCACACATGTGATTTTTGACACACCGTGACTGTTTGTTAAAGGGAAATGATACATCGATTATAATCAGTTTGCGTCATAATTAAAGAAAGAAATTCACTATTGAGATGTATGAAAGTACTCGCGTGTCGCCGCGAGTATTCACGGCGATACAAAATGTTGATATTAAAGAGCTATCACTATGCTCGCACAAGGAGATCAGGCCTATCCTGCCGTGTTTGGTTAGAATGAGTCTCAGAGTGTGTGGAGGGTAGAAAGCAAGTTCTGACGATATTGTCGGGCATTGAATCCGTCAATTCTATTATTGCCCTCTTATCTATTGATTTCCACGCTCTCGAAACCGATGTCCGACAGGAGCAGCAGTTGAGGTTAATATTTATATATATTTGGCTTTATTATTATATTTTTACACGTCAAAGAGATATAAAATTTTATCATAGAAGCGTTTTTTTATTATTTAAATTTTTTCCTTTTTAAGATAACTTTAAAGTTTATCGTCTTTAATATATAACTTTTATATATATCGGGAATAATGTTACATGCTAATATAATTGTCTATCTTTTCCAGACAAAAGCTTGGCAGTGTGCAGCGAGATAGTGTACTGGCACAATCATTATCGAGTGGCCTGGCTCTGGAGTTTGAACGCAGTGAGTCCATTCGCAGAATTAGACTGGTACTCAGCGAGATCCTGTTTATAGCATCTCAGATACAGGAACTGCAAAAGAATCAGGAGTTTCAGATCAAGCAGTCGGATCTGTTTGACAATGCAGTCTACATGGAGGAAATAAGTTATGTCATCTGCATAGCACTCGCCGAATTACCAACATTGCTGTCCATTCTTGACATTGCGGAGACCCTGCTGCATGTCAAGCATGGTCCAGATATCATCTGCTGGATTGTCGCCAATAGTCCGGACAGTTTTTCAGAGGTGTGTGCACACTTAATTGCTAATGGAGAGCGACAGGAGGAATCTGCATTAGGTAGGATCAGAACGCAAGCCATCACGATGCTATGCCAGATGAATCCGAGTCAAGCATTGGCGATCAGAGCGAAGTGCGTGGAACTGTGCAGGATGCCCGCTCTGGCTATCACTCTGAGTCTAGAACACGAGAATGTGAATAGCTCGCAGCCCGAAAGTGACGTCGTTGCCTTTGTATCTGGCTTGTTATTAGGTAGCGATCAGCAGGTACGCTCGTGGATTGCGATGTTTATCCGGAATGGCCAGAAGCGCAAGTGGGAGTCTCAGACGGCTTTGCAATCGCTGCGGGAGGAATTGCTCAAACGATTGCAAACAATTGCTTCTCAGAGCACGGACAGTCAATTAGCGGAATCGCAGGTTGTGCAAGCAAGTGCGTTGCTGAGGCTTTATTGCGCTCTGAGAGGTATTGGCGGCATCAAGTTTCAGGATGACGAGGTGGCGATGATCGTGCAATTACTAACGTCGCATCCGCCGCCGTCGCCGGCCGGTGTCAGATTCGTCTCCCTCGGTTTGTGCATGTTGATAGCCTGTCCTTCGCTGATCGGGCATCATAATCTGGAAAAACGCAGCATCGAGTGGGTGCAGTGGCTGGTACGCGAGGAAGCCTATTTTGAGAGCGCGAGCGGCGTTACGGCCAGTTTTGGTGAGATGCTGCTGTTGATGGCGATACATTTTCACAGCAATCAGCTATCGGCAATCTGCGAGCTGGTTTGTGCCACTCTCGGCATGAAGATACCCATCAGGCCGAACAATCTCACGCGGATCAAACAGATCTTCATGCAGGAAATCTTTACCGAACAGGTGGTTACCGCTCATGCCGTCAAGGTGCCGGTCACGGCGAATCTGAATGCTAATATTCCTGGGTTTCTGCCGGTTCACTGTATCCATCAGCTGCTGAAATCACGGGCATTTGCAAAACATCGAGTACCTATCAAGAATTGGATATACCGGCAAATATGTGCAAGCGTGCCTCCGCTGCATCCGGTTCTACCGGCTTTGGTGGAGGTCTATGTGAATTCCATCCTAGTGACAAACAACAAAACGTCCGAGCATACGAATAAGCCTATCACTGAGAACGAAATTCGCCGGGTGTTTCAGAACAGCGTATTTGGAGCAAATTTTGATTTTAAAAAGAATTCCGTCATGCAAGTAGACATCGATAGTATGGACCACAATACTTCGAAACCTTCGCTTACATCTCAGTTACTGCTACTGTATTATCTCTTGCTATACGAGGACGTGAGATTGTCCAACATGCATACCTTTATATCGCAAGGCAGAAAGCTCAAGTCGTACTCGACGGAATTTTTATCCGAATTACCAATCAAATATTTGTTACAACTAGTTCAACGGGATCAGATGAACTACGCCAGTCTATTTTCACCACTTCTCCGGCTATTGGCCATTCACTTCCCGCATCTATCCCTGGTGGACGACTGGCTCGATGACGAGAATTTATATAATATAAATTATCTTTTATTCTCTTCACCATGGATCTTGTTAAGCGACTGTCAACTTTGTGATCTATTTTTTGAGTCTTGTATAGATTAGAGATATCTTTGATACATTTACGGTGTTAATAGGATTATAACGCGCGTCCTCGCGATCATATAACGTGATTATGTTAACATAATTAAGTCAAAGATATATATAAATAATTATTGACCATGCACGGCAATTTTAATGATAATCTTTCTTATATACAAGAGTACTTTTTGTATATATATTTTGATCTTAAAAATAAATATAGAAAAATTATATTGAATCAACATCTTCTATCTCATATAGAGACAAGTATAGTGAATCTTATAGTGAAAAAAACATTAGTTGGCCATTCACTTCCCGCATCTATCCCTGGTGGACGACTGGCTCGATGACGAGATGATCAACATAGATTCCCCCATCGCGAGTTACGAGAACACAAAGATCAGCGACATCGCGATCGTCGAGGCATTCAGTCACATTAAAACTTGTCCTTCGAGGACAGGAAGATTATTGAGACAATTGATGGCGATGAAACCGACTGAGATTTGGCCTCACGCTGAACTGATCATACATTATTTTAAAGATATTCTTAATGAACAAGTTCCTAGATATATACAAGGTACATGCATTATTTTAATAATTTAATAACTTTTCAGTTATTTAATGAATCTGCCTCAAGAGAGCTCTCTCTATTTGTTTTTTATTAATATACATTTCAATTAATAATTAACATTAACATTAAATAATTAAAATAATTAACATTAATAATTAACATATTAATAGAATATATATAAACATATTTAAGTTTTATTATTTATTAAAAACTTACGCAAAACCTTAAATTTCAGAACTTTACAAACAAGTGTGGCTCAGGCTTAATACCGTGCTACCGCGCTGTTTGTGGGTTCTTTCCATAAACGCGCTATTAATAGAAAATTTAATAGTAAAAAATGTTTTCTTAACACAAGACAATATCGTATTGGACCCGTTGCAAGTATTAAGATGTGACACGAGAGTTTTTAGATGCGCGCCGATTTTATCTGTGATTCTTAGGTAAGTTGAGAGACGTGATCCTCGTTAAATAAAAGCTAAAAATAAAAGTTACATTTGAAATTATTTTTATAATAAAAATAATCAAATTATATTCAATAGAATTTTGCAAGCCACATTGGCCGCGTCGCGATCTCAGTTATCAAGACATATGCAAGACAAGCCTTTGACCGAGAAAATCGGGCAATTGACGAGCGAAACAGAGAGAGAAGATTTGAGAATAGCTTTGGTGACCGGTCAGGAAAGTGCGGCGGTGCAAATTTTATTGGAAGCATGTCTAGAAACGCCAGAAGATGGGAATACTCCCGGACAAATGTGGTCACTTCGAGAAATACGGAGTGTTGTATGCTCGTACTTACATCAAGTATTCATAGCCGATCCGTCTCTGGCTAAATTGGTTCACTTTCAGGTATATGTTCGTAATATAATAAATTTCATATAATCTAATATAAATAATATCTTAATAATATAAAAATATATGTAATAATACATATCACACACACATGATCTATCCATTATATCATTACATATTTCAATCGTGACTATCTAAATCTAATAGAATTAATTATTTTTAATTAATTCTCTAGTACAGTTATCACGATGAATATCCTTTATCCGCAGGGCTATCCACGGGAATTATTGCCGATCACGGTTTCCGGAATTCCATCCATGCACATATGTCTCGACTGGATTCCGGAATTGTTGTCGCAGCCCGAGCCGGAAAAACAAGTATTTGCAGTTGATTTAGCTTCGCATCTGGCAATTCAATATGCTCTACCAAAAGCATTGAGTGTTTGCAGACTGGCGATCAATACTTTGATAACACTATTAGGTGTGTTATCCGCCAAAGATCGATTCGTTCTTTTTATGCCGGTGTTATCGTCGTTGACGCGGATATGCCTGGCATTTCCTCCGTTGGCCGAGGATACCACAGGCTTATTGCTTCAACTTGGCAGAGTTAGTTCGGCACAGGCAGCTTTAGGCGATAGAATGACAAACTTGTTGTGTCAAGAAGTAAACGCCACGTTTTGTGCTCTATTGCAGAAGGCAATATTGCAATCGCGAGTTTACTAAAACGCGACTTAATATAGTAACCGTACAAAATCGTTTCGATTTCTAAAATGTATATTATGTATATATAT